TTATGGTGAAATGCAAATGAAAATTAAGGAGTAATAGAGGACTTTCAAAGAAAATAAGAGAAAAAATATAACAGGAAAAAAAATGTTTTTCCTAATTAAAAAAATAGTAAAAATATATGAAAATGAAAGTTAAGGAGTAATGGGGGAGTACTAGGGAATTTTAAAAGAAAATAAAAGAGAAAAAATAAAAAAGAAAAAAAAGAAAAAAAATTTTTTAATTAAAAAAAAAAAAGGTTAAACTATATCTAGGAATTTCTCTGGAGCTGTTGCGGTCAGTGTGGGTTCGGTTCAGTTTCAGATAGCTCCTCAGTTCCAGCTTATACTTCTCGATATCTATAGGCCCCTTCTGGTGTAGTCGGTGTTATCTGCAGGGATTTTAATCTGTTGCACCGGTCCCTTCTGAAGCGGTTCCCTTTGTCTATTTGGTTTCTGTTTGCTGGTCTCTTCAGTGTCTAATTTCCGCCCTGACACAGGCGGGCGGAGGTGGTCTCTTGTTCAGGTTCACTAGTTCAGTCGTGCGGTGGGGAGGGAGGGGTGCTGCAGACAGATATGGCTGTGTGTGGGGAGCGCTCAGTGTTCAGGCCACACTGGGTTTGCCGCCGCTCATGGGTGTGTGCTCTCCGCATCTATACTGCTCAGGCTCCTGGCTGCTCTATATGGAGTGGGCCCTGCGTTGCATGCAGTTCCAGTTTTCGGGTACTACACAAAAGCGCAGATTTGGTTGGGCCTGCGTTTTGTGCCTTCCCAGGCGGGATCAGCTCAGGAACTTGGGCGCACTCTCCCCAGGTGCGGTGTGCCTTCTCCTCTCTGCAGTCCCAGCCTCAGCTTCCGCACACCAGTCGGGTGCCTGCGGCTTGTGTCTATTCTCGGGAGCTGGCCTCTAGCCTCGACCCTCCTGGCGGATGTCAACCATCCAGAATCTCAGGAAGTCTTTGGTTAGAAACTGGAGGCCTTTTGCAGTTTGGTAGGGGGTGCAGTCTCTGGGGCCGAGTTTGCCTGTTTCCCCTCACCCCTCCCTCCTGCCTCCGGTGGGGATGGGCCAGTCTGCCCCCGGCTAGCTCTTCTCTGGAGTTGCTCAGTCCCTTTGTTCTGCGAATGGCCGGCAGGTTAATTTTCTCTCTCTCTCTTGCTATCCCACAGTTTAAATTGCTATCTCAAGTTAGTGCCCTCCGATTGTCCTCAGGGCATTTGGGCCCTGTCCTTACCCTAAGCAATGCCGCCTCTCCTCTCCGTTCCGCCCTCACTTGCTGGTGGCGAATGTGGGCGTCTGGGGTACTTTTTTGCTTGGAGTTGCTTTTAGGCATGTAATCTGTGAGTTTTATTTATCTTTCCTCCCAGTTAGGTTGCCCTTCGAGATTAGAAAACTTCCCCCAGACCCGCCCGTGAGAGGGTTTCCTGGTGTTTGGAAACTTCCTCTATTAAGACTCCCTTCCCAGGACAGGTCTCCATCCCTAACTCTTTTGTCTCTCTTTTTATCTTTTATATTTTGTCTTACCTCCTTTCGAAGACGATGGTCTGCTTTTCAGGGCACCTGATGTCTTCTGCTAGAGATCAGAAGTTGTTTTGTGAAGTTTGCTCAGCGTTCAAATGTTCTTTCGATGAATTTGTAGGGGAGAAAGTGGTCTTCCCGTCCTAATCCTCTGCCATCTTGGCTCCTCCTCTATTTTTATTATTTATTTTTTTTAATTTTTTATTCTCTCTGGAGAAGGGGATGGAAAACCACTTCAGTATTCTGGCCTTGAGAACCCCATGAACAGCATGAAAAGGCAAAAAAGAGAGGACACTGAAAGATGAACTCCCCAGGTCGATAGGTGCCAAATATGCTACTGGTGATCAGTGGAGAAATAACTCCAGAAAGAATGAAGGGATACAGCCAAGGCAAAAACAACAGCCAGTTGTGGATGGGACTGGTGATAGAAGTAAGGTTCGATGCTGTAAAGAGCGATATGGCATAGGATCCTGGAATGTTACATCCATGAATCAAGGCAAATTGGAAGTGGTCAAATAGGAGATGGCAAGAGTGAACATCAACATTCTAGGAATCAGCTAACTAAGTTGGACTGAAATGGGTGAATTTAACTCAGATGACCATTATATCTACTACTGTGGGCAGGAATCCCTTAGAAGAAATGGAGTAGCCATCATGGTCAACAAAAGAGTCTGAAATGCAGTACTTGGATGCAATCTCAAAAATGACAGAATCATCTCTGGTCGTTTCCAAGGCAAACTATTCAATATCACAGTAATCCAAGTCTATGCCCTGACCAGTAATGCTGAAGAAGCTGAAGTTGAACAGTTCTATGAAGACCTACAAGACCTTCTAGAACTAACACCCAAAAAAGATGTCCTTTTCATTATAGGGGACTGGAATACAGAAGTAGGAAGTCAAGAAACACCTGGATTAACAGGCAAATTTGGCCTGGCAGTACAGAATGAAGCAGGGCAAAGGCTAGTAGAATTCTGCCAAGAGAATGCACCGGTCATAGCAAACACCCGCTTCCAACAACACAAGACTGTACATGTGGACGTCACCAGATGGTCAACACCGAAATCAGATTGATTATATTCTTTGCAGCCAAAGATGGAGAACCTCTATACAGTCAGCAAAAACAAGACCAGGAGCTGACTCTGGCTCAGATCATGAACTCCTTATTGCCAAATTCAGACTGAAATTGAAGAAAGTGGAGAAAACCACTACCCCATTCAGGTATGACCTAAATCAAGTCCCTTATGACTATACAGTGGAAGTGAGAAATAGATTTAAGGGATTATATCTGATAGAGTGCCTGAGGAACTGTGCATGGAGGTTCATGACATTGTACAGGAGACAGTAATCAAGACCATCCCCAAGAAAAAAGAAATGTAAAAAAGAAAAATGGCTGTCTGAGGAGGTCTTATAAACATCTGTGAAAAGAAGGGAAGCAAAAAGCAAAGATGAAAAGAAAAGATATACCTATTTGAATGCGGAGTTCCAAAGAATAGCAAGGAGAGATAAGAAAGCCTTCTTCAGTGATCAATGCAAAGAAATAGAGGACAACAATAGAACGGGAAAGACTAGAGATCTCTTCAAGAAAATTAGAGATACCAAGGGAACATTTCATGCAAAGATGGGCTCAATAAAGGACAGAAATGGTGGGGACCTAACTGAAGCAGAAGATCATCTGCATATCTGAGGTTGTTGATATTTCTCCTGGCAGTCTTGATTCCAGCTTGTGATTCATCCCACCTGGCATTTAGCATGATGTACCCTGCATATAAGTTAAGTAAGCAGGGTGATAATATACAGCCTTGATATACTTCTTTCCCAATTTTGAATCAGTCCATTTTTCCATGTCTAGTTCTAATCTGCTGTTAATCCTATGCAATGAATTTTTTTTATTTCATATATTGTAGTCTTCATTTCTAGAAGTTCTATTTAATTTTTTAAAGTATTTTTCTTTTCTCTATTATGTTCACATTTTCCTTTCAATTCTTGAACATACTGAGCATAGTAATAAAAACTCTTTTAACGTCTTTGGTGGCTAATTTTATCACCGATGCCATTTCTGGGCCTGTTTCTCTTCATTAATTTTTCTTCTTCTTATGGGTCATATTTTTCTGCTTATTTGCATGTCTAGTAATTTTTCTGAACACTGGGCATTGCAGTTTCACATTGCTGAATGCTGATTTTTTTTATATTCCTTTAAAGGATGTTTAATGGCAATTAAGTTATAGATCAGTTTCACACTTACAAAGCTTGGTCTTGAAGCTTTGCTAGAGCAGGTTTAGAGTAACTTTTACTCCAGACGTAGTTTATTCTTCTTACGAAATGGTCACCCCTTTTGTGTCTCTGCTAAATGCCCCAGGTATTTAGTGAGGACTCTTCACTCTGTCAGATTGAAACTTGAACATGTCCTAGTTCTGTTTGAACTCTGAGAAATGTCCAGTTTACAATTCCCTAGTTTGCTATTCTTTGCACACCCTCAGGGAGTTCTACCCTCTGCATGCAGTGCTTAATAGTCAGCAAAGAACTCAGAAATCTCTGTGTAGGTTTCTGGAGCCCTTTTTCTGCATAACTTTCTCCTCTCCATTACTCTGCCCTGTGAACTCCAGCTGACTCAACTTCCCAAACTTGATTTCTATATCCTTAACTCAGAGAGACCATCATGCTCTGATTTCCTATTCTGGTTCAAAAACTGCCTTCTTCAGACAGAAAACCAGAGCTCATTTCATTTGTTTCCTTTCTCTGAAGGACAAGAGTCCTGCATTGCCTGTTGTTGCATGTCAGAAAACAGTTGCCTTGTGTAATTTGCCCTATTTTCTAATTGTTTATGATGGAAGGGTGCATCTGATCCTACTTATTCCATCATAGCAGTATCATTTTTATCAGAAATAAAATTTTTTAAGAATTGGCTTTTTTGGCTATACTTACATATAATTAAAATTCTAGATCTAAGGTTAAAAGCTATAATCTCATTTATAATGTTTTTTGTACTTTAGACTCATAAACTTCAGTTTTTAAAAAAATTTTAAGCTTAGCTTTAGATAATTTTATAGGCTTTTATGTCACTGTTAAAAATTCAACAACTGTTAGATGAAATTATAATCTGTTGGACTGAAAAAATACCTATTTAAATTTGAATGGTATATTGAGCCAGGTTTCTTAATTTTATGATCTTCATGTAGAAAATATCGATAGATCCTTCCAAAACAGCCAAACTTATTTTGCTATTATTTTTGTTCTTAAGGTTTAATCCAGTCTTCCTGTGGTGTAGTTGGTAAAGAACCCGCCTGCCAATGCAGGAGACATGAGTTCAGTCCCTGGGGTGGGAAGATCCCCTGGAGGAGGAAAGGGCAACCCATTCCAGTATTCTTGCCTGGAGAATCCCATGGGCAGAGGAGCCTGGCGGACTACAGTCCATTGGTTCACAAAGAGTCAGTCACGACTGAGAACACTCTTCCTTCCTTCTTTCCTATTATAATTGTATTCTAGTTAATTTTTGTTGTTCTTGTTGTTAAAGCATTATACAGAGAGAATTACCCAGCTGGCCCAGAGTAAATATTTACACATGCTTAGATGGAAGAGATTTTGCCATCACAGTAAGATCATGGAGCAACTTTATCCTTTTTACAAGGTAGGAAGCCCATGAACAGAATCTATGGGCTATTTTCTATAATGAAACAAAATGGCCATTAAGCTTGTCAATGCTATTATTTAGTATAGTCATCATGCCTGTTCATTATATCTCTAGACTTATTCATGCTCCATAAAACTGTGTACCCTTTGGCCAACATCTCCCCTTTTCCCCTAAGCCCCAGCCCCTGGTTACCACTGTTCTATTCTCTGCTTCTCTGAGTTCGACCTTTTTTGTTTTTTTTTTTTTAGATTCCACATAAAAGGGATACCACACAGTATTTGTCCTTTTCTCTGTCTAGCTTATTCCATATAGCATAATGTCCTCTAGATTTATTCATGTTTTTACAAATACTAGGATTCCCCTCCTCTTCATAGCTGAATAATATTCCACTATATGTATTTTTACCACATTTTCTTTATCCATTCATCCATCAACAGACCCTTAGGCTTTCATATCTTGACTATTATGAATAATGCTGCAATGGAATGTTGAAATATAGATACTGCTTTAAAATACTGATTTTGTTTTCTTTGAATATATACCCAAAAATGGGATTGCTGGATCATATGGTATTTCTATTTTTTTTAATTTTTATTTTTAATTAGAGGATAATTGCTTTACAATATTGTGTTGGTTTCTGCCATACAACAATAATCAGATATAAGTATACATACTCCCCTCCCTCTGGAGCCTCCCTCCCAGGACCTCATCTCACTCCTCGAGGTCATCCCAGAGCACCAGACTGAGTTCCCTGTGTTATAAACAAATCCATTCTCTACATTTTTGTCTTTATTCCTGCCCTGCAAATAGTTTCATCAGTACCATTTTTCTAGATTCCATATATAAATATATGCATTAATATGCGATATTTGTTTTTCTCTTTCAGATTTAGTTCACACCGTATAACAGATTTTAAGTTTGTCCTCCTCAGTTAAACTGACTCAAATTTATTCCTTTTTTAATTGGCTGAGTAATATTCCATTGTATATATATACCACAACTTCTTTATCCATTCATCTGTTGATGCACATCTAGGTTGCTTCCATGTCCTGGCTGTTGTAAATAGTGCTGCACTGAACATTGGGGGTATATGTGTCTCTTTCAATTATGGTTTTCCCAGGATATATGCCTAGTAGTGGGATTGCTGGGTCATATGGTAGTTTTATTCCTAATTTTTAAAGGAATCTCTGTATTTTTCTCCATGGTGGCTGTTATCAGTATGGTAGTTCTATTTTTAATTTTTTGAGAAATTTCTATACTGTTTTCATATTATCATTATAGGCACCAGTTTACATCTCCACAAAAAATATATCTTGTCACTGTTTTAAGTGCTGGTTAAAGATGGGAAAGGAACTAATGGATGCCCTTACTTGCCATTTCTCCCTGTGGCAGAAGATAACAGTACTGTTTTTAAGAATGAGATTTGAGGGTGGCTTTATATTATAGAAAATTTATTTTTCTTCATAGGCTATAGCTAAAAAATCTAAGAAGCCAACTCCAGTTACTAAATTTCCTTATGCACTGACTCTTTGCTAGGGTCAGTTTCCTTCAAAGTTGTGAGAATATGACTGATTGCTGTCCTTATCAGTCAAATTCAAAATATGGAAGAGTTTTAATACTACAAGAGCTTCTTATTTGGCTCCCAAACAGTAATACACTATACTTGGAAGCAAATGACAGAAAGAATAAGGCTTGCAAATCATCAACTTCTGTCTTGGTATCTCTCTTAAACAGAAACAAGTTGTCTACATTATGCAGGAATACAATGATGCTCTTCAGAGAGCTGATCGATTGTCTGTTGCCCGAGAAAACTTCCTTATGGGAAAAAAGAATCCTCCTAACTTAGTGACACAGGAAGACCTGACTATTTACACAAATTGGTTAGTGTGTCACCTACACTCGCTCAAGATTATTCACCACTATGTGCAGGTACGTGAAACAGTTATATGGTGATGCATTGCCTTCCCAGGACGGTCAGGACATTGCTTTCTTCACACCTGTCACCTAATTTGGGGTTGTCAGTTTCTGTATTCCATCTGCCTTACAAACGACAGGAAAATAATGGGTCACTAGCTTTTTTCTTTGAGACCTTTGAAACTATTTTTCTTTGGAATCTTGCGGTAATGAAATCACTCCATTTAGCTTTCCCAAAGATGTCTCTGTTACACTACTTTGTATTCACTCTATGATTTCTTGTTTTCACCTTCTTGTTCTGGATTTATGCTCTCTAATGTAGGTCCACTTTTTAAATTCAGCAATCCCTAGTGAGGGTCTAACTTATGCCAGGGACATATCCTGAGCCATGTGGGAGTATATAATCTTTGCTGATGGTGAGGGACAGGGAGGCCTGGCATGCTGTAACCCATGGGTTCGCAAAGAGTGGGACGCGACTTGGTGACTGAACAGCAGCAGCAAAATGTGAGTCACAGGATGATAGGAAAAAGAGCAAGCAAGTAGTTAACTTAAATACAATGTGATGAGTATAATCACAGTAAAGAGAGTCACAGAGGAGAGGCCCTACTGCAAGATACAGGCATCAGAAAGGAGTGATATGACCACATTCTGTTTTAGAAAGATTGCTGTTTTGCCACCTAATTTTTTCTTACTCTGCTACACCTCATCTTAGTGATACCACCAACCATGACTCCTGGCCATCATCCTGACATCATTCCTTCCCCAATCAGTCACTGTGAGGTCTACCTCTGAATCATCTCTCCCCTGTTACATGGCATAGTAATGATCTGCTCCTAAGTCCTGGTCCACCACTAAACTCTGAACTCTTTGAATTTGGTCCATGTCTTACTTATTTTTGTGTCTCTAGCACCTCACATGATGCCTTGCTCATTATGGGTCATTGATCAAGGTAGGTCTGCCTGGATGTTAAGGTCACTTAGAATTGGTAACAACACAAGGTCCCTAACTCCAGATTTAGCCCCTCATGATTGAGCAGATTACTGAGGCCCACCTCCACCTCCTTCCTCCCCTATCAAACCAAAGGGCTGCTCCTGAAACAAAGTCTGGAAGCTTCTTTGAGAACTGAATTGACACGTGACCCCTTGGTTGTCCGCTTCTGTAGGCCCTCCAATATTTACCCATCTCCAAAGCTCTGAGTGTAGCTGTTGATGAAGTCCCTGAGGTTGGTCAGGAAAATGAAAAGGTTCCTGTTGATGACACTGACCCTGACATCCAGGGTTCTGCATCTCCAGACTCTATGAATACCAGTGTTTCAGGTAAGAAGTCTTCTTTCCCCTTGGGAAATGTGGAGAAAAGATTGTGATTTTGCACGTGTGCACCTGATCTTGCTTGAAATTTTTCTATGTATCAAAAAATTATATCTTTAAAAAAAAAATTGGCCATGCCATGCAGTCTACAGGATCTTAGTTCCATGACCAGGAATCAAACCTGGGCCCCAGTGGTGAAAGCACCAGATCCTAACCACTGGACTGCCAGGAAATTCTCAAAAGTTTTATCTTCTTAATTAACAAGTGTTAATCTAATATTTTCTGGTGGAAAAAAAAAAACACTTCTCTTAGAAATTATCATCTCCATCTTTATAGCTAGACAATTAAGAGAGGGGGGAAAAAAGCAATAAACTTGAAGTTGGGAGTACTGGACTCTAGGCCTATTCTGTTGTGGCCTCACTGTGAGTCTACATGTTTAAGTCATTTCATCTCCATGGGCCTCAATTTACTCATCTCCAAAATAAAACTTTTAGATTAAGTGATCGCTAAGGTCACCTTCATTTTTTTCCCCAGGGTTGAAAACATTTCATTTCTTTTTTTTTTTTTTAACACCAAAAACATTTTGTATTGGGGTATAGCCAATTGTTGTGATATTTTCAGGTGAACAGTGAAGAGACTTGGCCATACATATACATGTATCCATTCTCCCGTCAATCCCCCTGCCATCCAGGCTGTCACATAACATCGAGCAGAGTCCCTTCATTTTTTATTTTACATGATCTTTAAAGACTTCCCTTATCTGAATCAATTTAATAGTCTTCTTACCCTTACCTTATGTTACAGATGACTTAGAAATCTGATCAGGTTTTTACTCTGAGTGATGAATTTACCAGTTGCACCTGGAGAGGCAGCCAACCCAGTTGTGGGGAATCAGAGAAGGTATATCAAATGGGAAGTCCAATCTGGGTGCTTAGAGATGAGTAAGAGTGAGCCAGGCGAAAGGAGGTGAAGGTTCTCAGCTTCTCCTGATTTGTTTGTTAACTTGTAAGTCATATTCTTTGTCTACCCCAAAGGACTACAGATAGTTCTGTTCTCACTAAGTCATTCCCCAGAGGGTCTGTTGGATTTCTCCGCAGGCTACAAGAAGGGGGAGTCCTGGCTACCTCCCCAGAAAACCAGCACCATGATCTGTCCTATAGGCCTCGCTGAGTGTGTGCAGTCTGCAAACTGTGGCAGAGAGGGCTGGGCGTGCAGCAGAGTGGCCCTCACCATCCGCGGAAGAGGCCCTGGCTTCAGTTTTCTCAAAGGACTCTCCTTTTTCCCTCTGAGACTGGTATTCATTGGTGTTAATGCTCTTCATTTTGGATATTTTCAGGGCCAATGAGAACAGAAACTGCTTTCGTTCTGCCCCAACACACAACAGAAACAGAAGAACTGAAACCTCAGCTGAGGCTGCTGCTCTCCCATTTCAATATCTCATATGACGTGGAAGAGCTGAGGGATGCTTCTAAGGAGACAGAACTTTTTGCCTTGGTACGTCATGAATTCTTTCTTAATGCAAATATAGGTGTTCATGAAAGAAAATACTAGTATCTGCCACGAAGTTTGATATTCACACTGCCACGATTGTTTCTACAGTGATAAAATATAATAGTAATAGGTGAGATTTAGACTAGCAGTTTAACTTTCTCTCTGTTAGAATTTCGAAACCCTTGAATATCCAACCCAAAGTGATTGTAGGATTATTTTTCTACAGAAAGAAAATGAAAAAAAAAAAAAAAAGAAAATGGTAGGTTGTAGTCCATAATAGATGATGTAAATATAGCCAAGATTTGGCATTTTTTTAGTATAGAGTTGTCTATTGTCTAAAGCCCTTTGATTCTCAGAAAGTCTACCAATAGCTCTTCAGTTAGCAAAATGCTTTATATTCAGTACAGTGTATATTGTGTAGTGATTTTTAAAATCAAGCAGTCATAGTCTGCTATCTCATGGTGTTGCACCTCCTTGAATAAAAAAATCATATCAAAAGCCATATTAGAACTTGTTTCAAAGGGGGAAAAATAGGATTATACATAGAGAACCTCAAATTTACAATAATAAACTTTTTAGCCAGAGTTTCAGCAAAGACATTTTTCTAGATCTGGGTGTATAATATTTGTAAATGTATGTATTTGCTAGGTAAAATAGAGAACCTCAAATTTACAATAATAAACTTTTTAGCCAGAGTTTCAGCAAAGACATTTTTCTAGATCTGGGTGTATAATATTTGTAAATGTATGTATTTGCTAGGTAAAAATAATAAGTTGATTAATCCAAAAAGGCAAAGATCAAACCTGTATGTTTTTGAACACCCTGTGTGTAAGAAGGAACCACTTGCTTACTTAGTTACTTACTCTATCACCATTTACTTTGACCTGGAAATTTCACATCCATGTGTATTTGTTCCAGCATTATTTTAATTGGATTATTTCTATTATTATGTAACATGGACTCTTCAAGCTCACTGGAACCAGTGGTATCACATGTCCTCCGGTTTCTTTGAAGGTGGTTATGTTTAGCTTTTGTCTTTCTTTTCATATCAGCAGCAGCACTATCTTCAGCAGAGAGTGCTTCTATGGGAGTATCCTCACCCTCATTCATTATCAGCAAGTATTATGATAGACCCAAACCAGAATCAGAACAAGAGGGTGTTAAAAAGAGTCCAAATAAATATAGATAGGTTATGGCACAGTGATAACAAAAGAACTTGAGGCTGCAGTACTCTCCCACAGAGCAGCCTCCTCCCCAAAGAACAGCTTGTCTTCTTCACATAGAGTTTCTACTTTTGATTTTCTTGTAACAGTATTATGTGCAGTGCTAATTGTGCTCCCAAGATAATCACATTACAACAAGTTTTTTTGTGTAGGATGAATTTCTATAAACAGGAAGAGAGTTTATTTTGGTTTTCCAAAACCCCAGAGCAAGGTCAGCAAACTACAGCCTGCAGCCCACCTCCTAGTGTTTGTTAAAGTAAAGTGTTATTGGCATACAGCCATGCCCTTTCATTTGTGTACTGTCTATGGCTGCTTTCACACTGCAACTGCAGCACTGAGTAGCTGTAACAGAGACCATGTGGTTTGCAAAGTCTAAAATATTTACCATCTGGCCCTTTAAGAAAAAGTTTGCCACTCTAGCTTAGACTGGCACCATCTCACTGAACTTTGTGCACTGATGGGTATGATCTGTGTCTGTCTGATGTGGTAACCACTAGTCACAGGTGACTGTGAAACATTGGGTAGTGTAAACAAGGAACTAAATTTTATCTAATTTTTATAAATTTGCATGTAAATGTTAAATAGCCACATATGGCCAGGAACAATAGTATTGGATAGCACAGCCTGGAAAGTACCAGCATTAACTGGAAGAATCTTTAGCTCTGTGACTCACTGAACTTATTCATTCCAGAAACTTTTTTTCAGGCCCTAGTGTGTGCCAACACTGTGTCAGGTTCTCTCTCTATATATAATTAAATATACATAAGATTTACCATTTTAACCTTTTCTGAGTGTACAGCTAAGTGGTGGTAAGAGCATTCACACTGTTTTGCAACCATCCCCATGGGGAAGATTCTTGAGATTCCCTCCACAAACTCTCCTTGCACTGAGAAAGTCATGACACAGGTGGCCAGTGCACTGATGAAGGCACTTGCACAGGCTTGGGAGGCCTGGGTCTGCCCGAGAAGGGAGGACGCAGTGTCTGCATCTTAGCAGTAGGCAGGTATATCATAGAAAGCAACCTAGATGCCCATCAGCAGATGAATGGATGAGGAAGCTGTGGTACATATACACCATGGAATATTACTCAGCCATTAAAAAGAATTCATTTGAATCAGTTCTAATGAGATGGATGAAACTGGAGCCCATTATACAGAGCGAAGTAAGCCAGAAAGATAAAGACCATTACAGTATACTAACACATATATATGGAATTTAGAAAGATGGTAACGATAACCCTATGTGCAAAACAGAAAAAGAGACTCCTATGTATAGAACAGACTTGTGGACTCTGGGAGAAGGCGAGGGTGGGATGTTTCAAGAGAACAGCATTGAAACACGTATATTATCTAGGGTGAAACAGTTCACCAGCCCAGGTTGGGTGCATGAGACAAGTGCTCGGGCCTGGTGCACTGGGAAGACCCAGAGGGATTGGGTGGAGAGGGAGGTGGGAGGGGGGACCGGGATGGGGAATACATGTAAAAAAAAAAAAAGATATACTATGGTTGTGATAAAAAAAAAATAAATAAATAAATAAATAAATGAAAAAAAAATAAAAAAAAAAAAAAAGAAAGCACTGGCAGCCTCAGTCTGGAACTGAGATGTGAGGGGTGTGACTGATGTACTGTAAGGAGCTTTAATAGGTCCCAGCATCTGGACTCGTCTCTCTAGCAATATCCTGGTCAGGCTTCTGGGAGCAGGATTTATCTAACCCTTAAATTTTCTCATTTACCAGGTAGTCAGGAAAAGGGAATGTATTCCCAAAGATAGTCTACTGCCCGTTGAGGGTCCATTTAAAAATATATATAAATAAATATATTACATTATTTCCAATCTTTGGAGCAGATATTCAGAACAAGTAACACACACATGATTATAGTAATAGGCTGACTGAATGCATGTGCCCCTCAGGTATTTACATTTAAGTCCTACTACTGTCACAGAATCATGTTTTATAAAATAGTTTGACTCCAAGACCCTTTCAGAGGCAGTCTACCTATTCTTGAAATTGCCCCCAGTCTGAATCTGTTTTTTTTTTCCCCTGGGCTTCTCTTTTCTCAATCCTGTTTAGGTTTCCCAAAAATTTCAAAGCATCTTCATGGAGCAACAGAGAATGCAAACGTTTCCAGACTATAATGCTGGGATAGCTAAAGTGGAAAATTTGGATTTGACAGGACCTGGTAGGGCCTTGAAAAAGAGAGCCAACTGGACTTCCTTTATAAAGGTAAGGGGCCCTGTGGTGACGGACACTTGTGAATGATGTCAGCCATGTCACAAAGTGTCTTCCAAGGAGGCCAGACAACCTGGCAGCATCAGGTCTGCCAGATGCCTATTATCCCCTCTCCTCAATGCCCTCAGCAAACTGTGCCCTAGGAGCAAGGGTAGGTGCCTGCCTGACTTAGGAGAGGCGGCTTAGAAAACCCGGCTTGTGTACCACCATCCCCCAGCTCCTTCCTGCCTTGAGTCGGTTGAAGTTAGCCAGGCTAATCTACCTTTTCTGGAAGTTCTCGAATATTCCTTTGCCCCTCTCTATTGAGTCAGGACTCCTTTCTTGTTGTTAGTGACCTGGGCTACTTGGCAAGAATAAAGAACATTCAAAATTATGACTGAGTTGTGTAAATCCAGTTTTTTAGTCAAAAACTGTTTACTGACTGCATTCTGCATGTCATACATGGCCCTTCGTGCTGGAGATACACAATTCACAGTTATTCAAAAGTGAGTAGCTTAAATGAGCTGATGTGAGATTGTGATAAATACAGTTGATTCTCATTGTTTGGGGGTAGTTATGTTCTGTAAAGTTGCCACGAACGCTGAATTAACAAATCCTCAACCACTGCTCATAGGGGAAATAAAAGGTTAGGTTCATCAATTGATCAATACATAACTAGTTTTATATGTGTTTCTATTTGAAGAGACTTTATTCAATATATGTTGTTGATTCATTAACATCAAACTCATGGCCAATAGCACTATAACTCATACCTGAACAGAGCTTTTTGAACACTTGTCCTTCTGTAAGACACATCACAGCCTTCCTACACTTAGGAACACTAGACAGCTCTTCAGCCCCCTGTTGGAGGCCATTTTAAATAGTGAAATTACTAATGAAAAGCACAAAAAGTATAAAAACCTGGCACTAATTAGGCCATAAAAAGAACATTTGTTTGTAGTACACACTCAAATAAGTAGTAAATAGGTGAAATATCACCTTGTTTGTCCTCAGCTGGGAATGTGGGATTGGGTGACTTGAAATTTTCACCATTCTGTGCGTGTCCATGAATATCCAGGAAAGTTCTGTATTGATTTGAGGATAACAAATTTCAGTGAGTAGGCAAATACAAAATACAAAATCCATGAATAATGAGGATCAACTGTGTCATGAAGGAAACATCTTATGTGATAAAAATGGATGGAAGGAAAGCAGAGAAATCACAGATTATTCCTAAATCTGGGGCTTGAGCAAATAGGTGGTTGGTGTAGGGAAAGCCGGACTTTGTGTTTTAGATTATTATACTTGCCATTCACGTATAAATATCAAGGAGATAGTTGGATATAACAGGCTGGAGCTTAGAGCTAGATCTAAATTTGAAAGTTACGAGTACATTGAAGTATTTACAGCCATAGAACTAATTTTTGAAATACAGCTTGTTAATATGAAAGGTGAAGTTTTACATGTGGAGCCACAAGGAGATTTTGTGGGCAAACTTCTCTTGCCCCATAAAGTTAGTGCAGTGTCCAACACTGATGGATTTAGGGTCCCTTTTGTCAGCAAATGGTGCTGTGTCATTCTAGATGGAGCTACTGCATCTCAGGCCAGGTACCAGCAGGAACTGCTGTTGTCCTCTCCCTCCACAGATCTGAGAATCCACACGGACCCTTGCCAAGACTTCACATGCTCTAGAAAACTACCTAGCACTGAGGCCAGATCCCATTTCAGAAAATCCTTGGTTCTCTTTATTTGCAAATTTTATTGAGAACCATTCTGTTATATTTAAGTTTGTGTGTACGTGTTTGTCCACTAGATTAAGCCAAAATGTGATCCTTGGCAAAAGAAGCTTTTGACCAAGCTAAAAGAACGGAGAAGAATAGATGTATTAATGCAACTCCAAGCAAAGTTTCTGAAGGTAAAAAAGTAACCATGTTTCCTTGTAGATAAAATTCTGGTCTCAGAAAATTGAGTTCTTTCCACTTTAGCCAAATGTTAGCCATGGATTCACTATGAAGGCTCTATCTGGAATTGTCTAATCTAATTGCCAGATTTTATATCCTGTTAGCTTTCATTAGTGACAGTTGTCAAAAGAGTTGGCTTTAACACTAAGTCTCTGTGTGATATTGCTCTAGTCACATAATCTCTCAGTTTTTGTTTCCTCATTGTGAAACCAAACTAGTGGACTAAACATTGAACTATCTTACTTTTACTGTGGTAAAAAAAATATACACACATAGCATAAAATGTATCATCTTACCCATTTTTAAGTGTATGATTCATCAGTGTTCAGTATATTTCACAGTGTTGTGAAGTAGATTTCCAGAACTTTTTCATCTTGCAAAACTGAAACTCTCTGCCTACTAAACAACTCCCTATTTCCTCTTCCTCCCAGCCCCAAGCAACCACCATTCTACTTTCTGTTTCTCAGACTACTCTTAGATACTTTATATAAATAGGATATACAGTATTTGTCCTTTTGTGCTGGCTTTGTTTCACTTACCAGAATGTCCTTAAGTTCATCCACGTTGTAACATGTGACCAGATTTCCCTCCTTCTTGTTTTTCATGAACATTTATATCAGCTTTATTCACAATAACCAAAAACTGCAAACAACCTGGATGTCCTTTAGTGGGTGAATAACCTGAAGTATGTTCATACCATGAAACAGCAATCAGCTATAAAATGGAACAAACTGTTGATAGACCCCAAAACCTGGATGAGTCATCAGAGAACTGTGTGAATAAAAAACTCAGCCCCCCCGCCAAAAAAAACCAACTCAGCCCATAAAGACTGCATGAGTCCATTTATACAACATTCTTCAGTTCAGTTCAGTTCAGGCACTCAGTCATGTCCAACTCTGCAACCCCACGGACTGCAGCACACCAGGCTTCCCTGATCCATCTCCAACTCTGGAAGCTTGCTCAAACTCATGTCCATCGAGTCGGTGATGCCATCCAACCATCTCATCCTCTGCCATCCCCTTCTCCTCCTGCCTTCAATCTTTCCCAATATCAGGGTTTTTCCAATGAGTCGGGTTTTTTTTTTTTTTTTTTTTTGCATCAGGTGGCCAAAATATTGGAGCTTCAGCTTCAGCATCAGTCCTTCCAGTGAATATTCAGGACTGATTTCCTTTAGGATGGACTGGTTGGATTTCCTTGAAATCCAAGGGACTCTCAAGAGTCTTCTCCAATGCCATAGTTCAAAAGCATCAATTCTTCAGCACTCAGCTTTCTTTATTGTTGAACTCTCACATTCATACGTGACTATTGGAAAAACCACAGCCTTGACTAGACGAACCTTTGTTGGCAAAGTAATGTCTCTGCTTTTTAGTATGCTGTGTAGGTTGGTCATAGCCTTTCTTCCAAGGAGCAAGCGTCTTTGAATTTCATGACTACAGTCACCATCTTCAGTGATTTTGGAGCCCAAGAAAATGAAGTCTGTCACTGTTTCCATTGTTTCCCCATCTATTTGCCATGAAGTTATCAGACCAGATGCAATTATCTTAGTTTTATGACTGTTGAGTTTTAAGCCAACTTTTTCACTATTCTCTTTCACTTTCATCAAGAGGCTCTTCAGTTCCTTTTTGCTTTCTACCATAAGTGTGGTATCATCTGTGTATCTGAGATTATTGATATTTCTCCTGGTAATCTTGATTCCAGCTTGTGCTTCATCCACCCTGGCATTTCGCATGGTGTACTCTGCATATAAGTTAAATATGCAGGGTGACAATATACAGTCTTGACATACTGCTTTCCCAATTTGGAACCAGTCTGTTGTTCCATGTCTAGTTTTAACCGCTGCTTCTTGACCTGCATACGGATTTCTCAGGAGGCAGGTAAGGTGGTCTGGTATTCCCATCTCTTTAAGAATTTTCCACAGTTTATTGTGATCCACACAGTCAAAGGCTTTGGCATAGTCAATAAAGCAGAAGTCGATGTTTTTCTGGAACTCTCTTGTTTTTTTGATGATCCAACAGATGTTGGCAATTTGATCTCTTGTTCCTCTACATTTTCTAAATCCAGCTTGAACATCTGGAAGTTCACGGTTCATGTACTGTTGAAGCCTGGCTTGGAGAATTTTGAGCATTACTTTCCTAGCATGTGAGATGAGTGCAATTGTGAGGTAGTTTGAACATTCTTTGGGATTGCCTGTCTTAGGGATTGGAATGAAAACTGACCTTTTCCAGTCCTGTGGCCACTACTGAGTTTTCCAAATTTGCTGGCATATTGGGTGCAGCACTTTACAGTATCATCTTCTAGGATTTGAAATAGCTCAGCTGGAATTCTATCACCTCCACTAGCTTTGTTCATAGTGATGCTTCCTAAGGCCCACTTGACTTCTCATTTTAGGATGTCTGACTCTAGGTGAGTGATCACACCATTGTGGTTATTTGGGTCATGAAGATCTTTTTTGTATAGTTCTTCTGTGTATTCTTGCCACCTTTTCTTAATATCTCCTGATTCTATTAGGAATCTAATTGGGGTCTCCTGCATTGCAGTTAATCTTTATTAACTGAGTTATCAGGGAAGCCCTGCAAACTCTTAAAATGACAGAATTATAGAAATGGAGAACAAATTCATGGATTCTAGGGATTAATAAGAGAATGGTGGGGGAGGAGATGAAGTATAATTATAGATGGGTAATATGAAGGATCCTTATGATGAATCTGTACTGTATCTTGACGTGATACAAGATGCTGTCTCAATGCCAGTATCTAGGTTGTGATATTGTACTATGATTTTTCAAGAAATTACATTGGAAAAAATGAAGTGAGGGTTACCTGGCATCCTTTTATGTTATTTTTTCCTTTTCTTTTCTCAAATTGTGGTAAAAATTATATGTAACCTGAAATTTGCCATTTTAACCATTTTTCAGTGTACAGTTCAGTGGTATTAAGTAAGTTCATAAAGTTATACAGCCATCACCAACATCCATCTCCAGAACTCTTTTCCTCTGGCAGACTGAAACTCTTTACCCATTAAATAATAACTCCTCATTCCTCTCTCCCTCTAAATTCTAGCAACCACCATTCTGCTTTCTGTTTCTGTGAGTTTGACTACTCCAGGCAGCACATATTATGGAATTATACAGGATTTGTCTTTTTGTGACTGCTTATTTTACCCTTCATAGTATCCTCAAGGTTCATTCGTGTTGTAGAATTTGTTAGAATTTCCTTCCTTTTTAAGGTTGATTATTTCTTTGTATGTATCCACCACATTTTGTCTGTTCATTTGTTGTTGAACATTTTGGTTGCTTTCACCTCATGGCTATTGTGAATAAGACTACTCTTAACATGGATATGAAAATAACTCTTTGAGATCCTGCTTTCAGTTCTTTTGTATATATACCCAGAAGTAGAATTTCTGGACCATAACATAATTCTACTTTTAACTCTTTTTGAGGAAGCGCCATAGTAGTTTCCATAGTAGTTGCAGCATTTTACAACCTCACCAATAGTGCAAAAGTGTTCAGTTTCTCCATATCCTCATTAACACTTGTTATTTTCTTTCCTTTTTAAATATTAGTTGTCTTAGTAGATAAGAAATGATGTTTCAATGTGGTTTTTTTCCTTTTTTAATTTCTCTAATGATTAGTAATTTTGAGCACTTTTTCATATGCTTTTTGGCCATTTGTATATCATATTTGGAGAAATTCCTTTGAAGTTCTTTCTTTTTCCTTGAAGTTCTTTGCCTATTTTTTATTGAGTTATTTGATTTTTTTTATGATTGAGTTGTAGTTTCCTTACATATTCTGGACATTACCACCTTATCAGATACATTATTTGCAAATTATTCTCTTGTTATTTAAGTTGTCTTTTCAGTCTTAATTTTTTCCTTTGATACACAGAATTGTTTAAGTTTGGCTGAATCACATTTGTCTATTTTTTTTTTTTTTGGCCTGTTCATTTTGTATCATATCCAAGAATTTGTTGCCAAGTTCAATATCATGAAAATTTCCCCACTTTCTATTAAGACTTTTATAGTTTGAGGTCTTATGTTTAGATTTTTAATCCATTTTGAGTTAACTTTTATATATGGTATAAGGATCCAACTTCATTATATTGCATGTGAATATTCATTTTTTCCCCAGCACCGTTTGTTGAAGAGACTGTCCCTTCTCTTTTTTTTCTTAATTTATTTATTTTTAGTTGAAAGATAATTACAATATTGTGTTGGCTTCTGCCATACATCAACATGGATCAGTCCTAGTTATACATATGTCCCTTGTTCCTTCTCTTTTGTGTGGTGTTGGCACCTTTACTCAGATCATTTGATTAGGCACTCAAAAGTTTATTTCTAAGCTTGCTATTTTATTCCATTGGTCTGTATGTCCAATGTACACCAGTACCATGCCATTTTGATTAAGATAGCTTTGTAATATGTTTTGAAATCAGGAATTTTGAGTCTTCCAACTTTGTTTTTCTTTTTCAAAGTTATTTTGGCTATTTGGGGCTTCCCAGGTGGCTCAGAAAGGAGAGTGAAAAAGTTGGCTTAAAGCTCAACATTCAGAAAACTAAGATCATGGCATCTGGTTCCATCACTTCATAGGAAATAGATGGGGAAACAGTGGAAACAGTGTCAGACTTTATTTTTTGGAGCTCCAAAATCACTGCAGACGGTGATTGCAGGCATGAGATTAAAAGACGCTTACTCCTTGGAAGAAAAGTTATGACCAACCTATATAGCATATTAAAATGCAGAGACATTGCTTTGCCAACAAAGGTCTGTCTGGTCAAGGCTATGGTTTTTCCAGTGGTCATGTATGGATGTGAGAGTTGGACTGTGAAGAAAGCTGAGTGCCGAAAAATTGATGCTTTTGAAGTGTGGTGTTGGAGAAGACTCTTGAGAGTCCCTTGGACTGCAAGGCAGTCCAACCAGTCCATCCTGAAGGAGATCAGTCCTAGGTGTTCGTTGGAAGGACTGATGCTGAAGCTGAAACTCCAATAGTTTGGCCACCTCATGCAAAGAGTTGACTCACTGGCAAAGACCCTGATGCTGGGAAGGATTGGGGGCAGGAGGAGAAGGGGATGACAGAGGATGAGATGGCTGGATGGCATCACCAACTTGATGAACATGAGTTTGAGTAAACTCTGCGAGTTGGTGATGGACAGGGAGGCTTGGCATGCTGCTATTCATGGGGTTGCAAAGAGTCGGACACAACTGAGCGACTGAACTGAACTGAACTGAACTGAGGTGGCTCAGTGGTAAAGAATCCACCTGCCAGTGCAGGAGCTGCAGGAGATGCAGGTTCAGTCCCTGTGTTGGGAGGATCCCCTGGAGGAGGAAATGGCAACCCACTCCAGTATTCTTAACAGGACAATCCCATGGACAGAGGATCCTGGCGAGCTTCAGTCCATGGGGTCGCAAAGAGTCAGACATGACTGAATATGAGATCCCATATGCATTTTAGGATGAATTTTTATCCTTTAGCAAAAAAAAAAAAAAAAACACCATTAGAATTTTGATAGAAATAGGACTAAATAATCTTTGAAGGTTCCTTGTGGTATTAAAATAATTGAAATATAGTAATGTGTATCACTGAAGTAGAAGTTTGGCTCTGGGACTGTTTGAGTTTTTACCTCTAGAGGAACATTTATTCAGCATCTACTACATGCCAAACATTGCAGCAATTCTGGGAGAGACCTCATTAGTGTTCTTATCCTGCTCTGCATGAAAAGCCAGGATTTCAACAGGAATATGAGCCCAGGGCTCTGTCCTTATAGAGCCTGTGTTTTTCACACACTACCCAGCTGCCTCACCCTCCATCTCCTGGCAACTTCCTAAGAGTAAACAAACCCAGAACTGATTAGAGTTTATCGTTTCACTGGTGCCACAACATGTGTAGGGGTGCTACTTGCTACTGTGTTTCAGGGGTTGTCACAGAACTTTTTAATTAGTTGCTTATGCATATTTGAATACTCAGTGTTCTTTGGAGTAACATGCCTAAGCGAACTACGATGTTTGAGTTTACTTATATTTTTTTAAATGAAAAAAGTCCCACCTGGGGCTTCTTATTATTCATGTGTATGTGACCAAATTCTTGCTGAGAAGAAGAGACTAACCCTTCTTCCAACCATCTCTTCTCCTCTGTGTTCTACTCGAGATTTCCAACCCTGAGCGAGTGATGCAAGTGCTCCAGGATCATGCTACGAAGATGGTCTTGCTGGCTTCGTCTCATCCAACATGTGTGACTTCCCAGGGCAACTATGACCAAATCTGGGAGACTATTTATAGCAACATCAACCTCTACCAGGTACAACAGGAAGAAATAACCAATATGCCTTTCTGTTCAACTCACCACCTGTTTGTAGACCTTAGAAATTTACTTTGAGCCACTAGGGACTTTCCTGGTGGCTCAGATGGTAAAATGTCTGCCTACAATGCAGGAGATCCAGGTTCAGTCCCTGGGTTGGGAAGATCTCCTGGAGAAGGAAATGGCAACCCACTCCAGTATTCTTGCCTGGAAAATCCTATGGATGGAGGAACCTGGTAGGCTACAGTCCATGGGGTCACAAAGAGTCGAACATAACTGAGCGACTTCACTTTCACTTTCTGAAGGAAGCATGAGGCTTAGGAAAGTGGTGGTGGAGAGGGAAGTAGGCAACCTATTCTAGAAGAGAAACTTGAACAATAATGCAGAGGAGATACTGTATATGGAGTGTTCAAGCTCAGCTGGGTTGAGTGGAAGATTCATGTGAAAATAGAGTGGAGAGAAGTTTTTTTTAGCAGGGAGGAGAGGTACCTTGTGAATGCCCAGAATTCCAGACTAAGGAATTTGTGCTTAATCCTATATATAGGAGGATTAATGTGCAGCTGGGTATCAGTTGGATTGAAAGAGGGAAAGATTGGAGGCAGGGAATTCAGATAGGTAGCTACTATATAGGATAGGCATGGAATTTACCAATGAAGGAAAGTTTCTATACAAAGCTAGTGGATACTTATCTTTGCAATGGAACTATAAGCTCTTTTAAAATTTACTTATTTATTTATTTGGCTATGTTGGATCTTAGTTGCAGCATTCAGGCTCCAGAGAGCACAGGCTCTGTAGCTATGGCACTGGGGCTCAGTTGCCCTGAGGCATGTGGGATCTCAGTTCACCAACCAGGGATCAAACCCATGTCCCCTGCACTGCAAGGCAGATTCTTAACCACTGGACCACCAGCAAGGTGCCCCAGAGCTATAAGATTTTTTGAAGCTGTAATCAGCTATTTGTTTGTTGCTCTAAAAGCAGAGTTTTGTTTCATTTGCTATTTAAGATAGCAATACCAATGTGCTTATGGTCTGAGTGGAAGGAGCAGTGGAGAAGAGATGAAAGACATGAAAGAGTAAATTTGAGAAACAGATGAGGAAGGAAGGGGGAATGAGATGAAGAAGCCAGGAGGAGTAATTTTGAGAAAGGGAAAATGGCGTCACTTCCCTTGAGGTGAAGGTGGTACATAGAATTTTCAGGTGCATAAAGATAAGATACAGGAGCTTGTGAATGGCCCTGGCTCACTCAGAGAGAGGAGGAAGAGGTCTGCATTAGTAAGGTAGAAGGTGTGAGTGACATATGAGGAGGTGTATCACTATGGGGAGGCCACAGAACCACCAGTGAGAAAAAAAATAGAAGGATGACAGTGTAGTTCACAGAGCCCAGTCGAAGTAAGAGGGCATAAATTTATAGTGAGCACATTCTGCATAATTATTACTTTCACCCCTAAAGATAATTATAGAGTGACTAAAAATTACACATAAAGTCACAGGTATAGAGAAGTTCAGTAAAATGCTAGAGAAAGAAGCACTATCATGGTCCAGCTTCTGGGGGTGGGCATGGGGGAAACCTGAAACCTGAAATGCATCTAATGAGCTGCAGGTTGACTGTAAGCAAACACGGGCTGGAAGCATGCCCATGTCCACACACGCACCTTCTATACCTTTTCAATCTAGAAACTCTAGAGAATCTAATGAATAATGAGTTGGCCACACAGACCAGGAAGAGATGCAGCCTACCACATCATGGCTCTCCCTGGCCCCTGAATTGCCCGACAGGGTGTGCAGCTACCAGTGATAGCCCCTCCTCAGCTAATATCCTGCCAGAGTTGAGAAATTTGCCACACGGTTCATATTCCATTGCCATTTCACACTGAGGTATATTTCAGCATTCAAGAAGACCTTCTACTAACAAGGGGACATTTTAAAACCCTCTGGCTCTTCTGCTTCTTGAACCAGACTTGTGGGGAAGGAGATAAAGAGTATGGAAGAAGGGAGTGGGATGAAGGCAGAGTCAGCTCAGGTATCTCTGAACAGGACCTCTGTTCCTAGGATCCTGATAGTCAAAGATGCTGATTAAATTACCCAGGAAGTTCTGGTATTAACATCTGAGGGCCATCACCATGAATCTGTTTTCCTCCTTGGCTATGAGAGCAGGGGAAACTAAACTCCTGGGAGCCAATAGGATGAAAGGAGGGTGGAAAGAAGAGAAAGAATACCACTTTCTGGCTAGTTCAGTTCAGTTCAGTTCAGTCACTCAGTTGTGTCCAACTCTTTGCAACCCCATGAACCACAGTATGCCAGGCCTCCCTGTCCATCACCAACTCCTGGAGTTTACCCAAACTCGTCCATTGAGTCAGTGATACTATCCAACCATCTCATCCTCTGTCATCCCCTTCTCCTCCTGCCCTCAATCTTTCCCAGCATCAGGGTCTTTTCAAATGAAAAGGTCTTTTCTGGCTAGTTACTGACTTGTAAAATTATTCTTGAAATTGACCAAAGGAAGAGAAATGTGAGTGCTGTATTTTTAAGCTGATTTATGGTAAATAGACCCAAAGAGACTTAGAATATCTGTAGAGTCTAGACGTGGAACGTGGGAGGAAACATAACACACACACACACACACACACACACACACACACACACACACAAACAAATTACCCTACATTAGTGTAATACAAGTTTTTCAGTTGCCTGTTCATTTGTTCAGTAATAATTGCATGGGTACTGCTTTAGTGCCAGGAATTGTGCTGGCTTAGGGAATGAAACATGCAATTAACAAGTGAACAAAGAAGTAAATCTGCATCTCTAATGTGTGGGTGCCATGCAGAAAACCAAGTAGAGGGCAGTGAGGTAGAGAGGAGCACCCTCTGGTAGGGAGATCAGCCAAGATCTTTCAAAAAAGGGGGCATCTGAGCTGAAATTTGATGAACAAGGAATCAGCCATGCACACAAGCTGGAAAAGAGGTATCCAAGTAGGGAACAGAAAACAGGACAGGGTTTAAAAAGTAAATCCTGAGGCAGCAACCAATAGGCAGCAGCCACCTTCCTTCATGTTTTCCTCTGGGTGTTACTTTGTGACCTCCTCCAGTATTTCTGCTTTGGTTAAGCACTTTATATAGTATCAGAGCATCAGTGGTAGTGTTGTTGCCATTCTGAATGTTGAATACTAGTAAAATGAAATTAGGATTAAGTAAAAGGTGGCAACTGGGAATGTGGGTATGAATTTTAAAGTTCTGTTACTATTTTGCAAGCTCGTAGCAGTCAAGTATGAATTTTAGTGTGTATATGCTGAGCAGCATCCTGATTCTGAACACTAATATCCTATGGAAAATAACTTTCTTAAGGCCCTTCTGCATGGAGGAAAGCAAACCTCACAGTACTGTTCATTTTGACAGTTCTGAGAGAATACAGGCACTAACTGTACAGCAACTTCAGAACAGTTTTTGAAAAATTCTTAGTGGATACTGTTGGCCAGTAACCTCTCTTTAGAGAATTTTTTAATGTTGTGTTTTTTTTTTTTAAATTTTTGAGTACTTTTGGATTTATACAAAGGTTGCAAAGACAGTACAAAGAGTTTCCAAGTACTAAGAGTTCTCTGGGCACCACAATGCATTAGATTGTCACATCTCCCCAGTCTCCTTGGTCTGTGCCTGTTTCTTAGTCTGCCTTTGTTTATTATGATCTTGACAGTCTTTAGCAGTACTGGCCAGGCAACCTGTAGAATGTTTCCTCATTTGAGTTTGTCAGATGTATTTTTAGTGGTTACACTGGGATTACAGGTTTGGGGTAAGAACATCCCAGAGGTGAAGTGCCCTTCTCATCACCTCATATCAGGGACAAACGCCATCAACAAGACATCACTGGGATGTTCGTTTTGACCACATGGTTAAGCTAGTAATGTTTGCCAGGTTTCTTCATTGTAAAGTTACCATTTTTCTCTGTAAGGAGTTTCTGAAAAATCAACTTTAAACTACAAAAGTAAAAACTAAATGAACTAATGGGGACTTTAGTACTGGTGCCCCCGGTTTCACTACCTCGGGTTTATACTGGTATTGCTTCAGGCCTTTTCAATGCATTTTCATCCATACATATGTCCCTATTGAAGAAAACATATATGTATATATACACAGTATAATTTTATATTTTAGTTTTCTGTATGAACCATCTGTCATACCCTATGGATATTTTTCTGCAATGTACTTTTTCCACCAAACAGTATGTCTTAGGGGCCTGTCTCTGCTGTTCTTTTTAATGGCTGCATTATATTTTCTTATATACTATAGATCTCACAGCCACCCTTCTATGGATGCTTGCTGCAATTCCCCCCCCCCCCATTATTAATAGAAACCATGGTTACTGAACTTTCTTGTTTATGCCTCCTGTGCAGAGATGTGTCTCTTTTGCATAGATATTTAGAAGCTGATTTTCTAAGTTACAGAATATGCACATTTGGAATTTTTCATAAATCCTGCCAAAGTGGTAATACCATTTTTCCTAATTAGCAAGTTATAAGAAAACCTGTTTTCCCACATCCATTTTGACACTGAATATACTTGTCTAAATATTGATAATGTTTGTCATGTTTCTATTACAGTGTAAATTGGCCTTTTATTTAATATTAGCATGGAAGACTGGCCATGCTTTTCTTTATAAACACAACTCTAATTTGACATTCACGTAAAGATCTAGGTTTGGGAGTTAAAGAAACAATATCAAAATTTCATGTCATTGTTAATTGACAAAAGTATATAACTAGAAAGAGATAATTCTGATCCAAATGGACTGGATTTTTGGATATTCTTTTGAAGAAAACTTAATTTAACTGCAGTCCTGATCAGAAGAAGAATCAGCTAGCCCTGCATGGATCCTCCCAGGCCTATAATTAAGTCATGTGTCCAATGCCATTCTCCCCCTAAACACCTGTTTATTAAAATGGCTTTGTATGGACATTGAATACTGCTATTGATCATCATATTTCTAAAGATATGGTTTAAATTGGTCACTGTTTTTTAACTTTATGGTAAAGTGGCAAAAAACACTGTATCCTTTGCTTCTTCTCACTGGCCACACCAAAGAGGGAAGAAGAGGACAGCCATTTTTGCCTATCTATGTTCTTGTTCCCCTCCATCTCCAGCGATATGTTACCGTGAGTATGTGGTGTGCGCTCACAAAAGCGGCGTTGTATGTTCCCTGAACTTGTACAGGAAGTTCATGGAAACATGAAACACCTTTTTCCTGGCTTCCCTCATTAAGTTCAATAGAACATTTTAAAAAGAAACATTTTCTTGTGATAATAGTGACATGTATTTATCACAGAAAAATTGGAAAATATAGAAAAGTTCAAGGAAGAATGTATGGATCACCATTATTTTATCACCCAAATATAACAGTATTTCTAGCATTTGGTCTATATCATCCTTCTAGTCTTTTTATTCTGTGGGTATACACAAGTAACACAAGTAAACTGTAGAGACATTTGGGCAGGTGGGAAATACTTAATAGGCTTACTCTCCCCCTATTTATTCCCTCCACTCCACCTCCCACTCCACTGTCCCTGCCAGTTTTCCAGGAGAAAATGAGATTTGCAATCAGTGGAAATCTCAGAAATGTCAAAATACATGAACTCAGCCATTCTGGCAAAGATCCAGGCACAAGGTAGAATAAATGTCAAAGGTACCTACCCAGGAAGAGAGAAAGAACATAGTTGGTGGTGATATTCTGGTTTCTCATCAGCCCTCTGCTTATTCCAGTTCTCTTAGGGAAATACACTTGTGGACTTTCAGTATTTCCTGAGCAGTTTGTCTCTGTGGGCTATGGTTAGCTCATTGCTCCTGGAGGATGCTGGGCTCTCTGTCTTTACTCACCCTAGCCCGCTGTGCTCCTTTCCTTTTTTCCCAGCAACCTGCCAGTCCAACAGTATTTTTGTAACTTGTTCAGTCATTCCTTCAAAGTCATTCACTGTAACTCAACATCACTTTCTATTCCTTCCTGTGTAATTCTGGGTAATTTTAGAAGCAGCTGAAAGAGTCACAAACCTATCAGAGAAATGCTATGTCTCCTAGCCTACCCCCTGGAGCTTGGAAATGTCATCTTTATCTGGGTGGCCATGTGCCAAAATAAATGTTTAGGTACTATGGGAAGAGAAGATGGACACTGGGGAGCAACCCGGTTTCTACCATAAGGACTTGTTGGAATTCTGAGAACCACTGTTAGAAGACAAGTAACCCAAGCAAGCCATTGACACTCAGTTTTTTCATGAGGATCAGTCCCACTATAAAAGAGCACATATTATGAGAATGGGGTATATGCCCAGGGACAGGCAGAGAGGGCCTGCCCAGAAGGCAGGAGTGGGATCAGACATCAATATTACCTTCTTCACAGTTTTCCTTAGGGCCCTGGGTTCATGACCTCCCCCTTCTCGAAATTAGGAAAGGTGACTGTGGAAATAAGTGTAAACCACAGGTTCTGTGATCAGTCCTACAGGGCTGACTGACTAATGCCATCCCTGGCCAGGAGAAAACCGAGCACCTATGAGGTACCAGCAACTTATTTTCCAATTTTATGCTATTTTACAAATGTGAAAAAAGGATCAAGACTTTAAATGATTAAGTCATATAGGTTAAAAGTAGAAGAGTTTAATCCACTGATCTCTGTCAACCTGGGACAAGACTAGATTAGAGAGGTTCAGGGTTCCAAACATCTACAAATGCATGGGTCATCTTTTCATAAAATGAATCATGGTAAAAATATGACCTCTAATTTATTTTAGAAACCCAGATTTTCATATGTCAGGTTGAAATGGATCATAATGCTGTTCTACTTGTTCATGTAAATATGCCTTGGATCAAGAGATTTACTTTTGTGATAACCCAACTTAGATTTTGTTAATAAGATTGCAAATGTTTATGTAATTCAACTAATGCTACTTTTTTTCCTAGAATGAAAACACTAAGGAAGATGACCTTTCAGTGCAACAAGATGAAAATGACCCAGCACCACTAAATCTTAGCCAGTGTGCTAATAAGCCTGTGGAGCAGAAGAAAGAGACAAGGTAAAATGAAATCACTTAATGGTGACTCGAGAAAATGGATTAAACACTGTGGAGAAAACTGAATGATTGATTAATATGTCAGTTACAATTTAACTAAAAAATATTTAAGGCTGAAATAAAAGTAGTATTACAGCTGACCAGATAACTAACGTTTCACCCTAGAACTGAATTTTTTTTTAATGAGAGTGATTGCTAAGAGAAATTTCTTTTAAATTTGTACATTTAGAGCCCTTATTTTCCTTCTAGTGGATTTTAAAAGAGTAGCTATTGTGAAATTAAATAAAATAACTTCAGTATGCTGTATGTGAATTTTCTGAACCACTTTGAGGTGAAAGTGTTTTTGTTCTGTTTTTCCTGCCTGCTAAAGGTACAGTTATACAGTGGCCCTAGAGCTGCTGGGCTTGGATGACAGGACTGGGCCCAGTGACAGGGATCCTGTCCTGTTGAGCGGGACCTACTTGTCCTTTCTGTATCTGCGTCACCTGAGGATCCGGGAGCTGCAGGTATGTGAATGGTCTTGCATGCATCTGAATTGTTTGGTTGTCTGTAAAGGGGGCTTTCCTGCTGCTCCAGTAACATGCATTTTTACACTTTGTTCTGATTCTTCCATGAAATCAGGCCTTTTGGAGGGTGGTGTGTTCCTTTTCCAGCAGTAGGGTTGACCTGCCAACTTCTGGGACCCAGTAAGTTTCACTCTGTAGGATGGGCCAGCAAAGGCAGGATCGTGACCCTGTTCTTTCTTTGTTTCAGCGCATCTGCTTAGGAATTCTGAACTATTTTAGATCCGTTGAGCGAACGCTGACGATCAACACTTCAGGCCTTACCTTGGTTTCAGGGAGCCTGGTGCCTACCTCAGAAGACAGTTCCTGGGTAAATAAAGCAAAAGGAGGCATGGGCACCTCGCAAGGCCTAGGCACTCACCACTATGCCCACGGGACACCTGCCGAGCACAGGGTGAGGATTGTGCTACAGTTTTTTTCCCATTATTATCTTGTCCCCACGCCACTTCTTCTTAGCACTTGGAATCAGTTAAAATGATGAAGTAACAGGTGGGAGTTTCTAGGAAAATAACTTTTTTGAAAAATTGCATTGAAAAGGGAAATGGCTTTTTAACCACAATAAATACAGTGTCCACTTGAGAGCAGGACACAGGCAGAGAACACGATGCACTGGAAACCACAATAGGAAGGAAGGCAGGCATTTCAGCTGCTGGTTTATCCGCTTTATAGTAAACAGACCAAGAGGAGCCCTTTCAGAGAACCACATGTCCTTACAGAGAAATTCTTATAAGACCCTCCTTGACATTGCAAGAAGTACTTTTTTTTTTTTGCGCCTCTTTTCTGTTTTCTAAGCCCCAATTTAAAAAAAATAGATTAAAAAACAAATGTAGGAAAAAAAACTTGAAAGATTCAAACATTGAATTCTTCTATCCCTCCGAAAACCTGCTTAGTCCCTTGGTGCTTTTAATATCTCTGGGATATACTTTTATGTAATCTAAAAAAAATTCATATTAAATCTCATATAAAAATCCCTTTCTTTGGGAGTAAAGTTGAAAAATACATTTTTTTGAAATATTGTAGACACTCTTGAAGTATGCTCATCTTAATCTCCAGAAAGTTTATTCTTGATGGTAGGATTTAATATGAATTTTTATCTTCTTAAAAGATACTAACTTGACAAATATGAAAAATAATATCTATTTAGCTACTACCAATTGTTGCTCATATGCAGTCTGGAGTAGTGCTGTCCAGTAGAAATATAACACAAACCACAGATGTCATTTAAAATTTTCTAGTAGCCACATTATAAAAAACATAAAGAAACATGAAATTAATTTTAATAATGTACTCTATTTAAACTCAGTGTATCTAAAATATCATCCTTCTCACATATAATTAATATAAAGAAATCATTGATAAGATATTATATATTTTTTCATACTAAATCTTCAAAACCTCTTGTTAGTATGTACATCTGAACTCAGACAAGCCACATTTCATGTGCTCCATAGCCACATGTGATTATTGAACAATTCAGCTCTGGATATTAGAAAATATTTTCTTATTCTTCCTGCCTAGTCATTTCAAGTCCAACTTACTCAGTATCTGGGAGATTCTTCTTTTTAGTCTTCCCTATCAATTTCTCCCTCCCCTCTCCTCACTGTACACAGATTTCCCTTTTTACCCTTCCTTCTTCCCTTGATCCTAATTTATGGTGAGCCAAGTCCAGTTAGTATGTCCCTCAGTGGAACTGGAGAGGAGGGTTAAGACACTTTTGAAGCAAACACTCCCATAAAACAAATACATCTTTTGTGTTACTAATATCCGGCCTGTCTTATACCATATCTGGGTGTGTTATTTGCTAATAGATCAAAAAAAGATCTTTCTTACCACTGTGCCCCTCTCCCCGTTTGTTTGTTCTGGGTTGGGGTAGGGTGGAAGGGAAGGAGGAGGGGGGAGACAAATCCTATCCTGTACCATTGATTATAGGAGAAGTTTCTCAAGGGTAATACAGTATTTCTTTCCTATGGTCTCACAAATGGTAGGAATAACATCACCCTTAAGAAACTGCCTGCAGCTACTACTTTAGTGTGAGAAACTCAAGGAGGTAGCCTTTCTTCAAGGTCTTTAACAGGACCAAGTGGTTTAACTGCACTCCTTGCATGTGGCCATGTCAGCATTTAATCTAGAATGTCCAGACTAACTATGTGATTCTTTCTCATATAGAGGATGGAAGGAACAGATGCTAATTTGTTGGGTTGATCTTACCAGGCCAGGGCTGAGGCTACCTGGAGCAAGATTTTTGGGCATACCAGTCAGTGGAGGTAAAGAAGTAGCAACTGAGATGGAAACCCTCTTCTCGGAGCCCAGTGTGTTTGCTTTCACATGGAACATCTTAGGCCAGTATTAACACATATTTGCTCACTCATAATACCAAAAAAGGAAAGCCCCTACAACCTGTCATGAGCACTTTGCCACGTGCCTACTTTAGGCACGTGGCAGGGTAGAAAAGTCCCCAGAATGAGAGGCAGCAGGCTTCTCCTGGCTGTTTGACCTTGAGCATGTTTCTTCAGGTACATAGGCCTGACACATCATGGCATGTTCAGGATCTGTCTGGATTTGACATGCTGGTATCAGAGACTGTTGTAAGCAAGTAGTGGGAGATGAAGCTGCCGAAGAAAGGAGACCATGAAAGGCTAGGCTGTCCTCAGGATATGGGACTAATTCCAAGATTGGTGAGGAAGAGAGAATTTTAAATAAGAAAATGGCACTCCTCATTGCCTTATAAATTTCTTGAGATCTTCACCCAGACATAATCGTGTTTATTCCCTTGGTTGAACTGTTCATGAATTTTTCTATTTTCTCAAGATAAGTCCAAGCCCCTTGGTGAAGTTTACAAGGCTGAGTGCAAGCTGGCCCCTGCCAACCTCTCAGACCTCATTTCTCCCCAACTGTCGCTATACCTTGGTTCTTACGGACCTGGGCCTGCCCTTCCTCTGAAGGGGCAGAGCTGTTCGTGCCTCTGAGTCTTGTATATAACAGCCCTTTTGTCTCTCACCGCCTCTCCTTGATAAAGGCTTGATCTTCAAGTCCATTCAAACATTACCTCTCTGAGAAGTCTTTCTTACATCTCTCTACAGAGCTTAGTGCTTCTTCCCCTGATTTTATCTACCTATATTACAGCACATGACTCATTCCAAGATTGTTGGCTTATCTACTCCCACAGGCCATGAACCCATCATTCATTCATTCTCCCATTCATATACCCCACAAATGTTCTGACTGATAAATATACTAGGCACGGGGCATACAGCAGTAAACAAAACTGTCACAAATTCTTGCCATTATCGGACTATTTAATGGAAAGAGACAGATAATTAAATAAATACGTGACATTGTAGAATGATTGAAGGTTTGACACCAAAGTTTCTCCAGACATCCTCAGCCCCTGCAGTTGGGAGGTGCCAGTGGACTGTGAGCAGAAGTGACATGTGTCACTTCAGTCCAAAGCGTGTAAGGGCTGACCCATGACCCTCCAGCTCTCTTCCCCTGCTGCAGCCAGTGGAAGGCACGTGTCGAGCCACAAAATAGAAACGTCCTAGATCCTCGGGTCACTGCTAGAAGAGAAAAACCTAGAAAGCAACTAGTCCTGCAGTGGGCTTTGCCTGAGTTAGAAATTAATTTGAAGTGTTGACTACTGAGCTTTAAGGTTGTTTGTCACAGAATAACCGAGGCTTTGTGGACTGGTAAAGATAGTGATAGAAGCTGTGGTGAAAAATTAAGTAGGATGAGGGGATAGAGAGTTGTTGATAGGATATTGCAGGTGGAAGGGAGGTGATCAGAGAAGACCTTACTGAAAAGGTACAGTCTGAGTAAAGACCTGAAGGCAGTCAGGGAGCAGACCATGTGACTGACTGGGGGAAGAGTGCTGGGCAGAGGGGAGAGCCAGTGCGAAGGCCCTGAGGCAGAACTCTGTCCAGCAGTGTTGTAGGAACAGCAAGGAGCTTAGTGAAGCAAATGAGGTTAGAGAGATTGGAACACATTATACAGGGCCTTGTGGATCATTCTGAGGTGTGATTTGACTTTTTATTTTTTTTAACATCTTTGCTGCTGTATTGGGAATAGATTGAAGGGCTGAGCAGAGACTAGCTACTACACTGATCAAACTAGAGACACTACATTTTAGAAGACACAGGATGAGAAATGGTTAGGTTCTGTATGATTTCCAGGCTGTTGGGATATAGAATATGAGAGAAATCATATTCAGTTTTGGCCTGAATATCTGTAAGTTTGGAGTTGCCATCATCTATGATGTGGTTAGTGCAAGTTTGTTGGGAAGATCAGGCTCTTGGTTAAGGGCGTGGAAACTTTGCCATTCTTAATAGATGTTCAGGTGGCAAAAAGCAAATAGAGAGCTGCATATATATCTTTCACCTTGTGGGTATCTAATAAATGTTTGTTGAACAAAAGAAAGACTCTGTTCATAACAGAATAGTTGTGAGGTCACAAAAATTCTATGTAAATGAAAGTGCTTTGCAGAGTCTATCATACTGTTCAAATTCAGAAAAAAATAGTTTTGATTAAGTATTATACTCTGCAAGTGAGGCAGAGACTAGGAGGTATTTTTTGTTTTCCTTTTAAAAGATTTAAAATATTGAGCCTAAAGATTGAGTCATTCACCCAACAAAGTTTGATGAGTTCTTAGACTGTATTAATATTATTATTAGTAGTAGTACTGTTTATTATTTGAAATTAATGAAAAGATGATTTAGAAAAAGGCAAGTTAGTCAGAGAAGTGTTGTCTACATTTCCAAAAAGCCTAAACTTTTTGTTAACAAGTGATAGCAGAAACCAATAGTGAAAAGAGTTAATGATGGCCACCAATTTTCCTATAACTACTATACTCAAATAGTTACCTTGGCATCAGTAAATTTGCAGACTTAAAAGCATATGAATTATCCCAAAGGTCAGATTATACCTTAGCCAAACAGGTAATTATTGCCTTCCTTTTCTTGCCACTCCTCCAAGAATAATATTGAAGGATCAACTTTCTACAACACAAAAAACATTAGAAGGAAGGTCTTCTATATAGCCATGGAAGAAACTAAAATAAAAAGGAAATAGTATAATGACTGAGCCATAAATCTACATAAGGTAATTTGGCCATCTGGTCTTCAGGTTCATCGTCTATGGACACAAGCTTACATTTCAGACACAGGAACTCAGGGAGGGGAAGGGGAAAATATGTGCGTCTATCTAAAGGGCTCAAACGATGAGTTGGGTATGGGGAAAGTGGGGCAGGGGGAGACTATTTAAATAGCTGGTAACATTAGAGTCAGTGTCTTGACTCCGCTATTGCTTTCCATCAGCTTCAGAACTTAATCCAGTTGCCATTTCTTTAATGGCTCAGAAAATTGTGCTATACAAGGACAGTGAGAAAGAAGTCTTTTCCAG